ATTAGTGGAAACGATAAAATTACAGGATAACCGACCGATCGCGCTGAATAAAAAAAAAACATTTGAGATTAATCAACTATACTCAAAAAAAAAAAAAAAAAACTATTTACCGATTTCTAAAGCATGATCACTATCCCTTATGACGCCATCAAAACCAGGGATAGTATTAACGCCAGATTGTTTAGCTATAATTTTGCTTCGAATCTTATCACCTAAATCTGCCATTGCTGATTCTCCCGGTCCTATAAACACGATTCCTGCTTCGTTAAGTGATTTCACAAAATGCGAGTTTTCCGACAAAAACCCATAACCTACAGGTAATTAACGTCATTAATCACTTGAAAGAACATACCATTAATTCAACTATAACCATACCTGGATGTACAGCTTGTGCTCCAGTCGATTTGATCGCTTGGAGAATATTGGGGATATTGAGATAACTTTGATTTGTTGGTGGAGGTCCCTAAATAGTACAGAAATCATAAACATCATGGAACATTTTATACTTGGCAAATTTTTGGAATTTGGATACTTTAATTTGAAACCATGAAAATCGTAAATTGGGAGATTGGGATTCGGGACAATTACATTATGCTTTGAAAATTGGATGTATTTAAAAAGTCGAAATTTAATACATACTACATGGACCGCTTCATCTGCCATTTCCACATGCAAACTTCGAGCATCCGCATCTGAATAGATTGCTACTGTTTTAATACCCATTTTTTTAGCTGTACGGATTACACGAACAGCAATTTCTCCACGATTTGCAATCAATATTTTATCAAAAGTCTGTTGATTGAATTTTTTTTTCTTTTATTAGGATTCTTTCAAAACATACGAATGCGCAGTAATTCAGCTATTAAAAACGCGCATTTTAATTAAATGAAATGAAACTTTCCTTTCCATAATCTACCGATTGAGGAGGCCCTTGTATGTTAGCATAATACGTTGTGAGCGAAGAATGAAAATAGCGAGTCGGGTGAACTATTGAAGGGCGATAAAATGCAAAATTCTTCTGATTGATAATTACTGAATTAGCGGAGAACCATGTCCCAGCGACGCGTACTCGAGCAGTTAATATATTCATTGATTATTAGTTTTTCTTGTTTCTTTTCAATCAAACTCTGAGCGTGAGGTCAATATAAATGGTGTCAAAATCAGCTTACACGTGTCAATTAAAATAATTAAACCGTTAAAATAAATTTAGCGTTATAGTTCGTCATCCATATTGTCGGATGTTATTTAAATCGCCTGATTTTTTTCTAAATGACAAATTAAAAATTGCATAAAATTACATAATCGTGTAACATACCAATTTTTCGCGAACCTTTTTAAACCCAAGAGTTTGATAACCCTTATTTGTTTACTTTAAATTTGATCGAATTTGCAATGTACCGAGAAGCTTTCACACGTAATTATAAATGCATCATTTCCCCATTTACACGTGTATCGTATATCCATCCCTACGCAAAATCATTTGGTAGAATTTCTGCATTAACACCAATACGACTTCGAGAATATGCATCTGGCAATACTAAAGAAGAGGTAAACTTGCAATGAATTATAATCTATCAATAATAATTTTTATAATTGTTATTTATCAGGAAATCATAGCGCGAATGGAATCCATGCGTGCGGAGGCACATTTGGGAGGCGGCGTGAAAAGAATTATCACTCAACATAAAAAGGTATTCTAAATTCTTTTATACGATTATTGATATTATTAATGAAAATTAACTTATTATTCCTCAAGGGCAAGCTAACTGCTCGGGAACGCATTGATTTACTCTTAGATCCAGGATCATTTCGTGAATATGATACTTTTGTAGAACATCAATGTACAGATTTTGGTATGGAAAAAAACAAGGTATATTGAGACTATACATATTTAAATCAATCTATCTATAATTCTTATGGACTTTAAACTCTAGATCATTGGTGATGGTGTTGTTACTGGACATGGCACGATAAATGGCCGAAGAATCTTTGTATTTTCTCAAGACTTTACTGCTTTTGGCGGTAGTTTATCAAAAATGCATGCCCAAAAGATTTGTAAAATAATGGATAAAGCTGTTTTGGTTGGTGCACCAGTTGTTGGCTTGAATGACTCTGGTGGTGCGCGTATTCAAGAGGGTGTAGATTCCCTTGCTGGATATGCAGACATTTTTCAAAAGAATGTCTTATCATCCGGCGTTGTACCTCAGATATCGTTGATCATGGGTCCATGTGCTGGTAAGGTTCATTCATTGTTTATTTAAGTTTTAAAAATTAGCAATTATGATGTGTCTCATATATGATTTAACTAAATTACATTTCGTAGGCGGTGCCGTGTACTCTCCAGCTCTTACCGACTTTACCTTCATGGTACGTGACACATCATACTTGTTTGTCACGGGCCCTGATGTAGTCAAGGCAGTTACAAACGAAGATGTGACACAAGAAGAGCTCGGTGGTGCAAAAGCACATACTGTTAAGTCAGGTACGTACATGTTAATATCAGTGCCTTATTATTGGAACAAATAACCCCTTTATTCATGTTTAATCTCAATCTATGTATTTAAAGGGGTTGCACACAATGCTTTTGAAAATGACATCGAGGCTTTGCAACGGTAATATTCAATACAATATATATTATCGTATTTCACTTTTTATTAATACAAATATTCGAAACAGCGTTCGCGACTTTATAGACTTCTTGCCGCTTTCAAATCGTGAACAAGCTCCCACCCGTTACACCGATGATCCTATAACCCGTGAAGATCCATCTCTTAACCACATTATTCCCTTTGATTCCACAAAAGCGTATGATGTACGTGATGTTATCTTGCGCCTTGTGGATGATACCAATTTCTTTGAAGTTATGCCAGACTACGCTAAAAACATTGTGATAGGATTCGCCCGGATGGGTGGCCAAACTGTTTCTATTGTTGGAAATCAGCCATCAGTATCATCGGGAGTTTTAGATATCAATTGCTCTGTGAAAGCTGCTAGGTTTGTTCGATTTTGTGATGCTTTTAACATTCCAATCATCACATTAGTGGATGTACCTGGTTTTCTTCCTGGAACCGCTCAAGAGCATAATGGTATTATTCGCCATGGTGCTAAATTACTTTATGCATACGCAGAGGTAAAATACCTAATATCCTATATTAATTTGGTATCGCCTTATTATCGGAACCTTTCTAATTCTTCTTTTTAGGCAACTGTTCCAAAAATCACAATTATTTTGCGAAAAGCATATGGAGGGGCTTATGATGTTATGTCTAGCAAACATCTTCGTGGCGATGTAAGGTTTCTTATACTGCTTAAATATATAAGAACTATAATTTATACTGTAATAAATTTTTTCATTTTTCAGATAAATTATGCATGGCCAACGGGTGAAATTGCCGTTATGGGTGCAAAGGTAATATCTTATGTAGCATTTACTATTACTATCGTAATTATAGCTGACCGACATAATTCACCTTGCTAATCAGGGGGCCGTCGAAATTATATTTCGACATGTTGAAGACCGAACGCAAGCAGAAAAGGAATATATTGGTAGGTATTTTAAGTAACTCTCATATTTATCATGTAAAATACTTATATATAATATACCATTACTGTGATGTAAACCAAATTTATCTTTAGACAAGGTATGCACAATTTTGTAATTACTTTATCTAATATAACATGTTATTTTTTCTTTATTGATTTCTTCAAATTTATTTGTGTTTTTAGTTTGCTAATCCAATACCTGCGGCTCAGCGAGGGTATGTTTTTGGACCTTTAATTTGACTATATTCACTCATTTATTTATTTGTCATTTTCCTTAACCATTTAGTTTTCTTGATGATATCATATTACCTGCCACAACACGAAAAAAAATTATCGAGGATTTAGAGGTTTTGAAGCATAAAAAATTACCACTTATTTATAAAAAACACGACAATATGCCACTATAAAGTTATAATTCTTTATTTCTTTTGATCTGAAAGATTAATGATTGAGTATTATTGCTTCCCAGTAGGAATCGAGTATGACAATACTTTATCTGGTTGTTACAAAGGGTTGATTTATTGTGTATACAAAAATTTAATGGATTTATAACAACCTATTACAAATATATATATTTATTATGTATATATATCTGGAATAGTTATCTACCTGAAATAACCAATCACCTTAAATTTTTAAAGTAGTGTTTGATCAGAATTATTAGAATTATATTGTATGAGGGTTTAATTTTAGATAAGAAATATTGTTACGTACTTATATTTTAATATATATATAAGTCCAAACAAAGTTAATTTTTTGGTTCTTATAACCCGGCCGGGTCAAATTTTGCTAAACCTAAGAAAAAGATTTTTAAGTACATTTATTATTAAGATGGTTTTTTTAAAAAATCCAACCAAAAATTTTTTGTATATAATTTTTTGAAATAAAGCTAAAAGCCGGATACCAGGTCGCTTTTCTTTAAAATTTTATATTGAGAACCACAAAATTAACTTCTTATAGCCTAATAATTAAAAGTTTATTAAAAAAATTTTATTTAATATACAGATTATTTTAAAACAAATTTTAAATTATAATAGGAATACTGTATTAGAGAAGTGTTGATATTATCTGATTTGGTTTAATAAACAGAGTATTAAAGAGAAAGTAATATAAATCCACTATGTTGTATATTAATTATACAGTACAGGACAGTAAAACGCATCCAATATTTATTAGCAACCTTTAAAGTGTTATAACTTTTTTAAAACATTAAATCAAAAACCCTGACAAATTGATAGATTTTTAGATAAACTAAATTTCTGTAGAGGATTTTTTTATTCTTTGTTTTGAAAAAGTCATAAAGGATTAAAGTTTATATGAGTTCAAAAATTGGCATTTAATATAGAAAAAAGAAAACATATATGTATTTTTTAACCAATAAAAATCAATTACACAATAATTAGCCAATCAGAATTGATTATATAAACCTCAAAATTGGCGCCTCTATGTATAGATTGGATGTCTTTTACTGTTCTGTACTGTAGTAACTTTAAACCCTTGTATTTTAAAAAAGGCTTAAAAATTAAGTAATAAATAATACTGCTTTTAAATACGTATATATCTTGAATAAATTTAATTTTTTTAGTAACTTTACACCTATTAAATTAAATAAAATTTTATAATATTTAATAAAATTTAATAATCAAATTAATAATGTTAATACTACTGTATTTAAACTAATTTATTATCGCAGTTTTCAAAATGGTTGACACTAAAATATTTTGTATACTCACTGTATATTTATATTCATCTAATTTAAAAAATTTTTTGTATACTTTAAATATATTAGTTATATTTAAAGTATACAAAAAAAATTTTTTAGAGTAAGATGATTCTATATTAGTATACAGTAAGTATACAAAATCTTTTAGTGTCAACCATTTTGAAAACTGTGATAAACTAATATCAAAATTATTAAATTTTAATTTTAAATATTAATTAAAATTTTACAAAATTATTTAAATATAAATTTATATTTTGTGATTTGAGTTTTACTAAATCACACCAGTGGTGTTTATTAATATATATTTTTTAATAGTTTTTTAGTAAAATTTAGGGTTAGGAAACCTGAACGATTTAGGTCTAAATTTTAATTAGGGGAGGTTTTTGGGAGCGCTAAATATTTTTGCTTAGTATTCCTGACGTGTTTTAGCTAGTACTTTTTTGAGATATAGAACTATGGTGTCGAACACCATTAGTGTAATTTAGTAAAATTGATTAATTTCAAATTAATATAAATACTGATTTATAATTTAATTTATACATATGAAATTGTATTTATTTAAGAGCCCAAAGTTAGTTTATATAATAAAATTTTAAAATTTTTTATATCTTACAAAATTCTTTGCAAGCTAATCTATAATAATTAATTATTTTAAATAAATTAATGTTTAAATACTGCTAATTGCTCTTTGGTTAAATAAAAATAGCTAAGACCAAAAATTTAAAAATTTAATTTAAAAATACGACCAGTTTCCTCAAAATGCAACCCCTATAAAAGCTTATCGTAAATGGACGTCATGGACATCTTTGGCCCAGCTAATATATATAATTTGGATTTTTATTTTCCTAAATGCAATATCTCTCTGAATACACGTTTAACTAAATTTTTACATATGGTTCCGTCACAATGCATTTAGAAAGGTCTAACTATATAAATTCTATCAAATTTATGTATACTTGTTTGGTTCACAAAATTTAATCTAACCATAAAAACTAAAAGAACCACTTAAAATTTTATTAAAATATTTTTTTGCTTTAGCTATCTTTCAATAATTATTTAAAAATTAAATAAAAACTATTATCCTTATATTAAAACTAGTATTTATCGCTGAAATTCACCATATGTTTTCAATTATTAATTATTATTATGTTTTCAATTATGTTTTTTTTTTACTCTTTGGCAACCTTACCGGTGATCCTTTATTAAGAATATTGTATAAATTTACAAAACTTGAGCTTAATATTTAGGCCCGATATCCACCGGCTACTTCTTGGGCATCTAGAAACGGGTCTGTCACACTGGCCTGAAACTTGTTTCAAAGCCAAAAGGAAAAAACCAGGTTAGCCGTGCAGGCAATACTAGAAAGGCCTGCATTATTATTATATTTTCAATTATTATTATGTTTTTAATTATTATGTTTTCAATTATTGTGGGGATTATGCTAAAAATGAATTATGCTGAAATTGGGGTCTCTTTTTAAATCTATAAGACCTACTAAAATTCATATATACTTGTTTATTAATAAATACTACACCCTAACCCTAACCTAACTATGAAAAAAAAGACCACAAAAAAGACCCTAAAAAATTTTACAATTTTATAATAAAATATGAAAAATTTGCAGCATAATCTATTTTCAGCATAATCACCCACAATTATTATTATGTTTTTTTAAAATTATTATTATGTTTCAATTATTATTATGTTTTTAATTATTATTATATGACCGACAACTAATAGTTATCATGCAGAGACTGCATGATAACGGGTTTATTTGGTCGAAGACTAAAAAATCGAATTTCGAAGGAAATCCTTGACCAAATAAATGAATTACAAGGCAGTATCAACATGCTTGATAACGGATTTATTTAGCGTCTTACTTTGATTTTATTCCAGATAATTTTATTATTGGACAGAAGCAATAGTTTAAACTATTTTAAACTTCAATAATAATTATTGGGCAGGTAAATCATTGTAAGCTGTCGGATAAAAAATTTTATCATTAATTTTAAACCTAAAATTAAAGTTTTAGAGTTAGGGTTTAAGGCTTAAATTAAAGGTTAAGGGTTTAGGGTGTTGAACATTTTTACTTAGTATATCAAATACCGATCATTAAGACTGTTTGTAGAAACAACATACCTGTATTTAAATTGATATTTATAAACTTTGCCAAAAAACATTAGTAAAATATTTTTTTTGCTATAACTTTTTTCAAATTAATACAGTCGGACCCCCCTAAATGCATCCCCCCTAAGTGCATGACCTCCCTAAATGCATATTAATTTTCTGGCCCAAATATATACTAAAC